CTGCTGTGTCTAAGTGTGGTGGGGACACTAAGGCAGACCTATTTCTGGGAGACAAGAGACTCCTTTCTGAGCTGATTTTGTTGTTTGACAGCTGCTAAATTGGGGAGAAAATTGTTACACAATAATAGATAACCAACACAACCTCGTCAAGTCATTTACTTATGTTAGTTTTTAATATAATATGTAATTATTATATATAATATATAACAATAATGGTATTTATTGAGCATTAATAATGTTCCAGGGGGGCAGGCCTGGTGGCATAGTGGTTAAGTTCTCGAACGCTGGGGTTTGCAGGTTCAGATCCTAGGCGCGGACCTACACACCGCTCATCAAGCCATGCTGTGGCAGCATTCCATATACAAAATAGAGGAAGACTGGCACAGATGTTAGCTCAGGGCTAATCTTCCTCATCAATAAATAAATAAATAAATGAATAAATGTTCCAGGTACTGTTCTAAGTGCTTTACATGAATTGAGTTATTCGCAACAACCCTGTAACATTTGTGTTATTACTATTATTTTTAAATTTATTTTGTCAAGGTCACATTGTTTTACAACATTATATAAATTTCAGGTGTACAGCATCTGTGTTACTATTATTTCAAATTCGTAGATAAGAAAACTGGGGGGACCAAGAGGTTAAGTAACTTTCCTAAGATGGTAGAGCTGGTGAGTGATGTCACCAGGACTTGAACCTGGGAAGTCTAGCTTCAGAGCCAAGCAGTCAGCTGGGGCTGGAGTCCTCTCAGGGCTCAGCTAGGGCTGGAGAACCTGTTCCCAAGTTCACTCACAGAGTTGTCAGCAGGCCTTGGTTCCTTGCTGTCTGTGGCCAGAGGCTTCCTTCCTCCCCACAGGAACTTATCTTGTTAGTGAGTTTAAACATGAGATCACACTGTATAGGGTTTTGTATTTTTTTCCAGCCAGCAGTGTATCGTAAACATTTTTCCAAGTAACTAAACATATTTCTAATTACCATTTCCTTAAGGCTTTGGATGCTAAATGTTAACTTGAAAAGGCAGAATTCCTTTGGGCAAATCAGCTAAAATACAGTGAAAACTCTCTCACTTTATCTTCTTTAGTTTATGCACTAAAACAGGGAAGCTTCACTTACCAGTTGGCCGTCGCCATCTCTGATTCAATACTATAAAAAAAAAAAGTGAAATTTGTGTTTTTACTTGACAGTAGAGCTCTTACCTACAATTTATTACTATATACTAATGTTTATCTTCTTTTTTGTAATTATAAGATAAATAACTTGTAAAATTAGAAATTCTACAAAAGCTGAAAACTCTTTCTTCAGTGGTAAATGTAGACATGTGCACGTTAACATGAATAATTCACTACTATAGTAAAGAAAAAATATTTTCAGTGATTGAAAAATACTGAGCTGTCCGAATTATTATGGGTTTTTTTTTTTTTTTTTTTTTGGTAAGGCGTTGTGATAGTGAGAAATAGTCTGCCAAGGGTAGCAGGCAAGTTCCTCCCGTCTCTGAGTTTCACACAGAGACATCCTACTTAGAGGCTCTTCATTATTTGTTTAGGGGAGGAAAGCTCCTAGAGCGGCTCTGCACTGTTGGTCCCCGCATCGCTGTGTATGTGAAATTGGCTTAAAAAAGCACCACGCTGGTTGTCATTACAAACACAAATCCCACACCTCGGGTAAGAGGAAGTCAATAAGATGAACACCTTCAGACTGAAGTTTCAGGCGTCAGATCACTTGAGAGAAAATGAATCCCAGTAGGAGGGCTCTACAGAGAATGAAAACTTGAAAAACAACAACAAAATTGCAGCTATTCCGAGAGAATCTAATTCTAAATGAAGTAAATTCTTCATGCTATCTGTTGAAAACGTCTTTTGGTAATAGCCTTTTATTTTTAAGATCTAGGAGGGTGTGATGCGCCTTATTTCTTCTGTTGCTCTATTTCTTTTACTGAAGCCCACTAAAGACTGACAATAGAGTAGAATACAACATGTTTATAATTTTTTTTATGTTTTCTACCAATATTGTTCATGTAAAAGAGAAATGAGTTTTCCCTAAATGACACCCTTAGTCTTTAATGAGTTTTCGATTTGGCATAATTTCTTTTTTTGTTGTTGTTGAGGAAGATTAGCCCTGGGCTAACATCCGTGCCCATCTTCTTCTACTTTATAGGGGACGCCGCCACAACATGGCTTGACAAGCGGCACATCAGTGTGCGCTCAGGATCTGAACCTGCAAATCCCGGGCCGCCAAAGCGGAGTGCGCACACTTAATCCCTGTGCCACCTGGCTGCCCCTGATTTGGCATAATTTCTTAAGATCTTTCAGTGGAATACTCTTCAGGGGTTGGATTATAACTTACTTAATTAAATCAATTTATGGAATACAAGCCAGGCATTGTTCTAGGAAGTTTCCACGGGTTCAGAATCTCTGTTGCCCAGGACACTTTCTAGGTTTGAACGTGATGCGCTCGTCTAACTTTGCTTTTTAAAAACTGGGTATAGGACAGAAGCTGGCACTGAGTGATGGCAGCAATGTATTACACATTGTTATGAATGTTATAGCTGCGTATGTAGCAAGAATTTGTGACTTTCAGGCAACAACGGGGAGCCGAGGATGAGGTAAGATTTTTTTCTTTAGAAGGTGAAGGTTCAGTTTATTTAATACCCTTCAGAAAATACCACTGGAGTAAAGTTTAGCACAGAAGCAAATGCTAAACCCCATTTCCATTTATTCAGCTGGTGTGAGAGTCACAAGAAGCCACTTATAAGCAGTAAACATATAGACACAAAAATAAAAGTTTGTTTAAAACTGGCCTTAAGTCTAAAGCTCATTTTAACAATTTTACTACTTCAATTAAGATAAAATATATAAGTTAAGTAGCTAGAATAGTTTATTAGTGTGTAAAAAGCATGTAGTACCATAGGATGCTTGAGTGCTCTCCCAAATAATGCACAATAAAGAGAAATACACGCAGGAGACTGCAGCAGCACGCTATTCTACACGTTACTTTAGGTATTCTTCTTTCTCAGGGGTTAGGCTAAGAGAACATACTTATAACGTGTCTTGAACATTTAAATATTTTAACATTTCAAAGCGTGGTGAAGGCCCTTAAAAGTTTTGAATGCATATGTAGTTAAATTTTGTCTCCAGGTACAGAATTTATAGTATCAACAACCCTTCCCGTTAGTAATTGGTGTTTCGAAAAAGAGAACTAACCAGTGGTTTCTATTACCGTTTTCATTTTTAAAGGGCTTAAAAATCAGTGACTGTTATTAGCCAATTTCCAGGGAACTTGGTTTACGCTTGGCGGGAGGCTCTGGACAAAGCCCTCCCTGCTGTGAGGCCGGCTGCGGGGGGACACCAGGGTGGCGGCACCGCGTGTTTCCGCAGCTCGTGATGCGGGGAGAACCCAGACGTGCAGAGGGATCGCCTGGTGGAGTCGCCCTCACTGCTGCCCAGGTCTGGGATGTGCGGTGGGTGCTTCCCGTCTGCTGGGCGCAGGTGTCAACAGCCCTCACAGCAGGCTTTCTGAGCAGTGGACACTGCTCTGGGAGCAGCGCCCCAACATTTTACTTCTCTCGATTTGTGCCTTTTTCTTCTCTTTTCCCTTCTACTTATGTTGCCTGTTCTGCCAGTTCCTTCAAAAGCTTGAGACACAAAGCACGAGCTGTCCACTTGCTTAAAGCCAACCTTCTCTCCTTGTTTCCTAGTCCTTGAGAAATCTGAGGGGTCTTTCCCAAGACCAGTCCATCACTTGGCAGTTAAGCTCCCTCAGCAGGATGGGCTCCTTTTCTCTCACCTACACCCAAGTCATATTTCAGCTCTTCCTTCAAAATACAGTTCTTCTGGGCAAATCTGTGACTAATTGGCTCATCACAGATGTTCTCTGTTAAACCAAACTAAAAATTAAATGAAATTAGAAAGGAAACGACACAAGTGAGAGAGCACTGGACTGGAAGTTGGGAGATGTGGCCTCCAGTTCTGGTTCTAGAGCCTGCCTGGGCTGGGCCTTCTCTGTTCTGACTGAATTTCACTTCCCACACGCCATTTATGTAGAATTTATCAGTGTAAATTACATAGAATCAATATATTGATATCTAATCTATACATAAGATATCATTTATCAAAAGTATAATGTATACATGCACATACATACATAGATAATTATGAATATAAGGATGAAATGTATAAAAATACAAGATTATATATTACATAATAATTATAATTAATAATATAATATAGAATTGTATATAAATATACACTTATACAGTGACATTATATAATATATTGTATGTAATATCTATTATAGAATTTTTTTCAGGGATTTTATCCTTGTGTTTGCACAGTGTATTGGGCTGGGTTCTAGACGTCTGGTTTTGCCTGGAGATTTTCTCTCACATGACTCCCCCAGAGAGCGACGCCCACGTCTCTTCCAGCTGGGGGGGGGGGGTTAGTGGAGGGGGTTAGTGGAGGGGGGAGCACAGACCAGTGTGCTTAAATAATGCAACAGAGCACAGTGATGTTTTATACTTGAAACATTATAGGCTCCTAGAGTTTGACATAAAAATGTATGTAACGTTCACGTCATCTGGATATGCGCTCAGCATGGCGACACCCAAGTCCTTTAGAGGGAGGACACCCCTCCTAGAATCACGTGACTCCACAGGTTCACGTTCTCATCTGACAGACGAGGGCACCGAGGCCGGGGGGTTCAGCTCAGGCCCCCGCCCTCTGGTCCCCTGCTTTGCCAGGTCTATCTGTCGTGTGGGTCAGCGGGCAGTGGGGGTGCGGGCGGCATCCCCCGTCGGAGACCCCACAGCGGGGGTCCGTGGGAGTCCGGCCCCCCCCCGCGGCTCTGGGGATAAAGGGGCGGCCCCGGAGCCCCGCCC